TAGGTAAGTGTTTGATTTGGAGTGAATGATGGTCATCCACTAAACAATCAACATCTATTAATAAGGCAGTGGTCTCTCTCTATCACTTTTTTGGTAGTGGGGGAGGATCCAAGTTCTTGTGAAAAAGGGGAAAGACTAATATATATTCTCTTATAATTATTCTTTATCAAAATAATTAAAGAATAAAGAATCATGTATAAAACAAATAAAGAAATCATACACTTAAAGCAGTTATAGAACATTTATTAAAGGTTAAATAGCACTTAAATACTAGTTATCTCACTTTACACTTTTATACCCTCATTTGTTTTCGCAGCATAAGTTGTTTAGAATTAGCACGTTATTACCCTCTATTATGCAAACATAAAAATTTTCTACCAAGTATTCTCATATGACATTTAGAATGAATAGCATGTGAGTGTCATATGAGAACATTTAGGTGAAAATTCACATATGTATAATAGAGAGTACTATTGTGTCAATTTTAAATAACTTAAGGTATATAAAATATCACTGAAACCAAGTGCAGGTATATAGGTGCAAAGTGACGGGAACTATAATGTATTTAATTGCTATTTAGCCTTTATTAAATGATTAACTAAAATGATATAATTCGCATGTATCTTAAATTTCAAAAGAACAAGATGACAATTGGCTAATGAAATATATTACAAACTCAGTAGACTAATTAAAATTTATTTTCTAAAAGTTAAAAGTCGAGAGAGAAAGCAACAAAGTTAGTCAAGTAGGAAGAAACCGATGTCGATTGTGGAGAGCATAGAACGGCGAATACTAATAGCTGTCTTTTTTGTCATTTTTTATGATATTTATTGCTTGTATACTTTTGGTGGTCATCCAAGATGGTATTACATGATCACGAGGATTATTTATTTGGACATGTTTAAGTACTAATGACTATGATTTAACTGATGTGAGAACTATTAATTTTGTTGTACTTGGGACTGAATTTCTATGAATGAATAGAAACGGACACCACTAGTTCAGTAGTATTAAAATTGGATTGGTACAATTTAATTAAGTTGGATACAACTACTATGTGCTCATATTTAAGTTTAATTTTTGAGAAATTTTCAGTGATGAATAAATCAAAACAACAAATGAGGTTGGGCATCCATTATAAATATAGGTTGTTTTCTGGCTATAAGCTTTATAATTACATATGTACATGCGTCCTAGTTAAGCATGATCTTGAAGCTTACCTTCAGTAAAATGTGATGAGAACTTTAAGTAACCAATGCTACCAAAAGAATATGAGAAGCTCCTATTTTTTTTATGGTCTGTTACAAACTATTAGCTTTCTTTTGAAGGATCGTTTTTCCCGTCAAGTCATCGCTAAATGTTTACACTACTAATGAGCAAGTGATATGTTAGGCTCACAGTTGGTCATGAAAATTAGCTTTAGTGTTCTATGCAACAAATTCAATGCTTTATTTATCAAGATAAAATATATTTTAGAACAGCCTAATTTTCTGATTCATTCACTTGCTTGATTTTTTGCATAGAATTCAGTTACTGATTCAAGAAAATGGCATCTGATAAAGTTCAGCCAGTAGAAGAAGCACAAAAAATTGAAACCCATGAAGCTCAACAGAACATGGAACCTTGTTGGAAGAAGAAGAGAGAGGATGGGGGATTCGTAGAGAACATGAAGGACCACTTTGATGAGTTTGTGAACACTTCAATGGACCAACATAGGATTTGTCTCAAGAAGACTATTCGTGGAGTCGGCTACAAGCTGAAGAAAACTCGCTCTGTAAGCCTCTATATCCTTCTTCTATACAATTTCAGCATGCAATGATAAAGTTCATATAAAATGGAAATTATTTGTTACGAACTGGTTTTATTTGTCATAAGAATTAATTTCACTTATTCTTACAAACTATGGAAAGGAAACATAAAATGGTTTGTTGAGAGATACTCTAATTGTTCCGTGATTAATGATCCTTTGAACTTTAAGTGAATCAGGGTTCTGTCCTATTTTTTATCACCTGGATTTACTTTGAGATGCGTGTTGATGCGCGATGGGTCTTGAGAAAAGATAACATTGATGTGTATCACACATCAACACACATCTCAAAGAAAATCCAGATGTTAAAAAATTGGTGGACATAGGTCTAAAGTCCATTTAAGTTTACATAGAGCTTTTCGCTTGCTCCATTCATATAGATAAAATCATTGGAAATAGGAGGTGTTAACTTCTTGACTTTAGCTTGCGCTTTTCCTTGAGAACTTTTTATTGAATGAATGAGTAGATGTAAATAAACAAGGAGTAGATCAAGGAAAAAAACAAAAACATCATTTTCTTTTAGAGTCTCCCAATATATTTTCCTGCTACCATATGAGGTGCTACAATATTGCTAGACCATTGGGATTTCAGTGACTAAAACTAGTAGGGATAAGGATTTCTTTTGTGAGACGAAGTATTTATGTCTTGCTATTGACTTCCAATAATTGACATTTTCTTCTTCTTTTTCTTTTCCCAGATATTTGGATCAAGCAATAATGAGCACGGTTTGGGTGTCAAAGAAGTAGAGAGCTCCAAATAGACATATACTCGCAGGAGTAAAGCATACCAATATTGGAATAAATATTCTGTAAAATATTTACATTTGGACTCCGCTTTAATACTTGCATTATGACTTAGGGAGCCATGGGCCATTGAATACACTGCATATATTTTGCAATGCGTTGTCTTTTGGATTTACATTTCTTACTGAAAGTTGTAAAATTTGATAGTAGCATGCAAGATCGTTACTGAATCAAATGATTTGTATCAATTCCCCCTTATTTATTGGTAAAGGGAATTAATTTACTAACATTTTAGCTGACTTTTTGAAGCTGATGTATGTAATGAAGTATTTTCAGTAGATTTGATCAAGATGTTCTGTTTTACGTTTTATCTTATTGGTATATCAAGCTCCCTACTAATCTTCATGAAGGTGTTCTGTGATTAATGAAAGAAATATTAAGCGACCAACAAGTGAAAGACTAAGAAATAAAAGAACGGCTTAATCCAGTTAAAATCCTTTTGGGTTTAATTGCACAAAGACTTTCTCTCAATAAGTTACCGATTCGAAGTTCTCAATAACTTGTAGATCATGGTTAACTTTTGAAGACAATAGGAAATGATGACCGAACTAACTTTAAAGCATAAGACTGTCTTGTAATCGTAAATCATTAGATGTATTATCTTGTGAATCTATTACGTTCGTGTTCTTGACTTTCACATGTAAGAGAACTTTCAGTACTTAGAGAAATTTTAGTAATCTAGAAATAGACATGCATGCCAACAGGGGTGGGCATTGGGCGAGGTCAGCACACGAGCCCGCTCGCTTGGCCTGCGTTTGCGCTCAACTCGATTCGGCTGGATGCGGGGTGTGTAAGATTCGACCTGCTATAATAGCAGGTTGTGGGTTTGGGATGGGTTGCCCCAGTCTATGCAGGTTAACAGCTTACTCGACCCATTGCTTTTTTACTATACGTAACACTTTTATTATAGTTTCTTGCAATTTCTTTTGTTCTTGTATTTTTAAAAGTGAAGCAATTATTTACTTGTTCCGATCACGTTAAATCTTTGTGCTTTCAATATTTTTCTCCGTCAATGGATACAAATATACAATTTATTTAATAAAATTTATCCCCCCCCCCCCCCCCCATAAGGGTTAAATTGTTAGTTTGTTAATTACATGTAATCTGTAAGTGCTAAATAACACTTACAAAATTAAAAAAATAAAAAACCTAAAAATAGTGAGATAGATGGGCTGACTTGTGCTATGTCCCATCCTAGTTGTTCCTAAATAAATTGTTGGATCTAAGCTGCAAGCCTAGAGGGAGGGTGAATAGGATTGATACTATTTTTCGCTAAAAATAAAGAACATGCAGCAGAAAAGATAAAACAAAAGATAAAAGCAGCCAATGACACGAAAGATTTTATAGTGGTTCGAATAACAATTCTCTTCCTTCTCACAAAGGGGCTTCCCCACTATGCTAGGAGTTCTCCCGAATCACTATCCAATTCAGTAGGCTTATAAAGACCGCACCTTAGAATCTATCTGAAATCAACTGTCTAACCTAACTCTCTAAAATGAGTAAACTCACCTAGCTCTAGTTAGTCCCAACTCTCAATTAGCACCAACTTGTGCACACCATAAAAATAATTTGAAACAAATCGTCAAGCACAAAAAAATAGGAAAGATCATACATCCTGTTTTAATTAACAAATTGTCCTTAATGGATCTTAATGGATCAAAGTGAAGCTTGATGAAGAACGATGTAGATGATGAAATCAATACAAGTCTCCTTGCTGAGATGATCTAAAGATGTTGAGTGCAACGAGAAATAGTTTGTTGAGGTTTCAGGGTTCGAAACATTTTCAATTCGATATCTTCTCAAATAAAAACCCTAAACCTCTTATTTTAAAACAGTAGAACGCTCTCATCTTTTTTATCTCTTTCTATCTTATATAGCCTTTAATCAACGATGAAAGAGATATCCTAAACATGGTTGAAGTTGGAGATTGAAAAGAACGATGAACGGCTGTGATTAAATCATCAAATCTGTAATTAGTTGTCGTTACCATCGATGATTATTCACGATCATTGGTGGGTCCCTAAGCACCATTAATGGGTTCACATAATCCATCAATGAGATGAAATCATATCTATGAAAATTTTGTAGTTAGTTCTCATAGACCATTGATGACTTCTTGCACATCGACGGGTCCCTGATGACCAACAATGCTAAAATGGCTAAAATCAGCGTTTGTGTTAATTTTTGTGTCGTTTCGACTCGTACACATTCAGTATTCGCTTGTACTATATATTCTCAAACAAATTTTGGTACTAAGAGAGTTAGTTATTACCGAAATAAGAGCTATTGTACAGACTACATGGTAACAATATCCCTCTTTTCGTAATAATAAACTTGAAATTTAAAATATCATAATACATGCATATTTGAGATATATAAATAGCAACAATAAGCAAAAAAAACACTTCCCTGTAAAAAAATAAATGATATGCAAAGCTTCCCCCTACATCCCTGCATTCATAAAAAGTGTAATCAATTATGCTATTGTAAAACTCCCCCTAAAATAATGTGTTGAGTGTTTTAAAAAATATTCAAAAAATAAAAAAATATGAAACCACCTAAACGAAAAATCCACTCATACAAAAATCATTAACAGTTTCAAATATCACACTAAAATTCTCTCCATTTTGTTATTAGCAAAGGTGGCAAACACACGAATAGACATACTTCGCACTCAAAAAAATTAGATGAGAATCATCCAAAGTTGTAAATAAGAAAAATGCACACTTGGTTCACGAAAAAGATTTATAGAAAAAATAGCACATGTGATTAAAATATAATCACAAAACACTTGAATACGAGAAAATCACATCAAAAATCACAAAAAAAATAGTTAAATATCATTACAAAGTATATGAAACATATAGTAAAAAGAGTTATACTAGTTCATTGGACAAATTTCAGATATATTAAAGAGAATATTGAATTATAATAAGACTTGAACTATCTCAATTTTAGAAACTAAGAACTTAAGTGTCACCTATCACCTCAATCGTATAGGATTTAGGAGAAAGAACGATACTGTTTGGCGGTTGATTCACACCATATCTAAATATATAAATATTCAATACAAGATGGCTACCCTTTGATATATGCACAACATAATCTACGAGTTTGGGTCTTCGACCATCTTTTATCAGTTTCACTCAATTTTTCGTGGATTTAATAGGAGAGTGTATCTCTGGTCATCTTTTAACAAATACATTCTTTTGTTTGATATGTTTTTAGGATAAATGCACATTTGTATGTATAAAAGAATAAATGTGTACATTATTCAAGTAAAAAAACGAGCTAAAAAGCTCCTGAAACAATGTGTAAATAACAATATTTCTATCTTTTTGTGTGTATAAGTAGTTATATATATATCATATATTATAATATATATATATATAGAAGAAAACTTGTGTCCACTTAAGTGGACATCCACCAAACTTTTAACCTTGGATGTTTCCTAGGGATCCTTGCATGATTGATAGTGACTTTTATATGCCTATATATAATATTATATATATATATATATATATATATATATATATGTATGTATGTATACACACACACATACACACACAACACCAACACACACACACACATATATAATATTAATAATATATATATATATATATATATTATAAGATATATATATATATATATATACATTATTTATATATATATATTATATATAATATTATATAGAGAGACAGAGAGCGACGAGAGAGACGAAAGAGAGAGAGACGAAGAATTGGGAGGTGAGCTGCAGCGTAGAAATTTCCTACGCCCTACAAGCTGATGACATGTGTAAGCCCCCTACTAGTCACATCTGTGGGCGCCTCATCAGTGTCATACAACTTGCCAGCGTAGGAAAATTCCTTACGCTTGCCAGCTCACTCCTGTTTCTCATATATATATATATATTATATATATAATATACACATATATAATATATATCATACACATATAATATAGTATATACACATATATATATATATATATATACACATAATATATATATATATACACATATATAGTATATAATATATAATATATATATATATATATATATATATATATCATTATGTTGAAACTTGTCATATAACCTAAGCCTATGTACTAAAAGATAAAATCATTAGGATCAATATGGTAAATGCATATACATAGGCAAGTCCAAAGTTTTTTTAATTTTTTCAAAGAAAACAAAAAAGAAAGAAAGAGAACTTTTATTTTGTTTTTTATAAAAAATGAAAAAAAAATATAAAAGAAACCCTAAAAATCAAGAAAAGTCAAGTCATGTACTTACAACAGAAAAGGTGAGTATCCAAGTATATGAAATTAAGCTAATTATCTAGCAACGAAAGTGTAGATAAAGAGTTAATATAGACCAAGTATCTCAAGCATCATCAAAAGAATATACATGTCTTGAAAAAAAAGTCTAAAAATAAAAAAAAGTCAACCTTTAGCAATTAGGATCCCATCTCTTTCGGTCCTTACTATCATCTCCTTGCATGTCCTCACTATGATCATCTCGTTTAGAAGCACCATTAGAGTATGGAGCCCCAATAGGATGTGCTACTCATGTAAAGTAGTCACCATGTACCGGTGATCTGGCAGGAGATGGATCAGATTGATAAAGAGCTCCTATAATATACTACAACGATGCGTCATAGCAGGTGTGCTGCGGCATCATATCAATCCTCATCAACGTAAAATCTCTCCTCATCAGCTCCATAATATCTCCTAGAGACTACAAAGTCCACTGAGTAGTATTGGAGGAACCCAGGGCCTCTAAAGTAGCAAGTTAGGATCCAGATGATTGCCTAGCAATAGGCTCACCCTTCCTCGTAACTATGCTCTTCTTGGCAGTCTCGGTTGAAAGTGCAGCTCTCCTTGTAATACCCCAACCCTTGAGAGGGTGATGTGATTAGTATTGGTAGATTTAATTGGAATACTCATACCACCCAGATGCATATTCTTTTCGGGAACCCAACTCTTAAAAACTCCAAAGTTAAGCGTGCTTGGCCTGGAGAAATTCTAGGATGGGTGACCCCCTGGGAAGTTTTCCAGGGAGCGTGTGAGTGAGGATAAAAACATGCTGAAAAGACATGTGATGATTTGTGAGGTCAGTTCATCAGATTTAATAGCGTACAGACATTCCGGGGCGGGGCGTTACCCTCCTCTTCTTAAAGCAATCAATATTGTGAAAGGGAATCTATTGGTCTTGGCGAATCCGATGATGAGAAATGGA